CCTCAGGGGCGCTGAAACTAGCGCCCCGCCTGAGACATCCTCGCAATCTGCTCTGAATGCCATGCATGTTGGGCATGAAAACGAGCTGCCGCCTGAGAAATCCCCGCATAACGGCCGCGAACGGGTCCGTGTCCTACCCGCTGGCGGCTCCCCTTCGGGGTGCTGAAACTAGCGTCCCGCCTGAGACATCCCCACGATCTGCTCTGAAAACCAAGGATGTTGGCCATGAAAACAAACAAACCGCCTGAGACATTCCCAAAAACTGGCCGCGAACGGGCCCGTGAAAACACACCTGGCGGCCCCCCTTGCGAGTCTGAGTATGGCGAGGTCTGAATATGATCAGGTCTCAATCCGTGCGGTGAATAACTCAGACTATGAGAAGGTCGGAGCCTGTGTAGGTCCGAGTATGAGTAAGTATGTGTATGAGCAGGTCTGGGGACGAGTCTGGGCATGAGTAAGTCTGGGTACCAGCATGAATAAGTATGAGTATGAGTAGACGTGCATGTCGTGTGTTGAGTCAGTCAGATCATGTGGAGGTATGAGTATACATAAGTCTGAGCATGAATGAGTCTGTGCATGAGTAGGCGCGTTCTCTCCGGAGTCGGCGGCGCCCGAGTGATAACAAGAACCGGCGAAAAGCGGCAAGGGCTCCATGATGCACTGGCTGCTCGCAGTCGTGCGTCGCGCCCTCCGTTGAACGAGTCCTCGGCGTCAGACATGCCCCTGGCGTGCTTCGTCGTGAAGGTCCAGCTCTTGCAGTCGATGCGCGAGTCGGCGATGAAGGCGCGTCGCGGCGCCTTGGGCGGGATGTCGCGCGCGATCTCCCCCCTGGCCTCGCTGGGGCCGAGCCCCCCCCTGGCGCGGCGCTCGGCGAAGCGAGTCCGCGCCCCGCTCGACGGCGACGCTCAGGGCGCGGACCTCGTCGACGCTGGCGTCGCGAAGCTGGCCGCTGATGTCGATGGCTCACTTTCGCGGCCCCGGGCGTGGCGCGACGCGGAACTCTGGGGTGTCATCGACGAAGACTTGGCGGCTGAGGTCCTGGACGGGCCCGCCCGGGCCCCAAGTCGGCGCGAACGACTGGGGCGCGATGCTGGACCAGGTGGCCGCGGCGTCGGCCCTCCAAGCTTCCAGGTTGTCGTTGTTCCGCTGGAGCATCTCAGTAATCCTCCTTTCGGTTTCCTCGTGGCCGGAGCGACGTCGCTAGCGTCGACAATCGTCCAGGGTTCGGCGCGTCGTTGTAGTCCGCCGGCCCCCTTGTGGGGCCACCAGGCTTAGGCGCGAAATTCGCAGCTTCCTGCGTCAGTTGTAGCTTGTAGTTTCCAGCGTTACAGTTCTGCTTCTTGCTGGTTACTGAAACTAGTTGATTGACCGCGCGAGGGGGGGGGAGGCCCAAACCAAATATTTAATATCTCCTGGGCGCGTTGTCTGAATTGCTGGGGGGCTCGAAATCGACACCCCTCGCGCAGATCCGCGGGGTCAGGGTCCAAAAACACTTAGGATTTGCCGCATTTCTGAAATGCAGTGCCACCCCTCACGCAGATCCGCGGGGTCAGGGTCCAACAACACAAGGGATTTGCCACATTTCTGAAATTCGGTGCCACCACTCGCGCAGATCCGCGGGGTCAGGGTCCAAAAACACAAGGGATTTGCCACATTTCTGAAATTCGGTGCCACCACTCGCGCAGATCCGCGGGGTCAGGGCCCAAAAACATAGCGGCTTTGCCACATTTCTGAAATTCGGTGCCACCCCTCACGCAGATCCGCGGGGTCGGGGTCCAACAACACAAGGGATTTGCCACATTTCTGAAATTCGGTGCCACCACTCGCGCAGATCCGCGGGGTCAGGGTCCAACAACACATGGGATTTGCCACGTTTCTGATATTCGGCACCACCCCTCACGCAGATCCGCGGGGTCAGGGTCCAAAAACACATGGGATTTGCCACGTTTCTGAAATTCGGTGCCACCCTTCACGCACATCCATCGCAAGGCGTCCCTCGGCCCTTTAATCGCATGGGGTGGTAACCGAGCCCGTAAACCATGCACGTCTTACCAATCGCCAGGTGTGGTAACCCCTCTTGTGATCAGTTGGTTTTGCTGATTGCGAATCGGCTTCGCATGAAATTTCGATGCTGCTCCACGACAGCGCCAAGGCCTCATGACTTAGCTCTTCCATGGCCCATTCTCCGAGAGAGGGGGCCGGCGGCAGGGGGCGAAGCCCTTGCGGATATCTGTTGGCGGTCGTCGTCGCGACAGGTTGGGGCGACGTGCTCGTTGATGGCGTCGTGGCGAGCGCATCCAAAGGCGTCGCGGCCGTCGTGAGAGCGAACTGCGAAGGCGATCTTCGCACGTCGGAGCGCGCTGGCAGCCGCTCTAGTGACGAGCGCGCCGGATTCGCGTCGTCGATGCGGGATGCCCCCCCCCGCGCGCGTAATCCGGCGGCCCCGCTGGGAACCCTCGCTCTCGTAGGCGTCGGTGGAAACTGCGCCAGAACACGTTGTAGCAATGGATCGAGCGCAAGCCTGCTGGGTCGCTGAGCATCTTGCCATCGCCCAGCTGGAAGCTCTGGGAGGCGTTTCCCTGCGTCGGCGCGCGATTGCGTTGTCGGGCGTGGGCAAGGCATGCAAGTGGGTGTGATCGTTCCAGTCGATCGTCCCGAAATAGCTGGAACTTCCGTTCGGAAAAGGGTTCTCCTCGCCGTCGGGGGCGTCGCTCGCGCCCGAGCCTCCTCGCGGTCGTCCTGGGCGTCTGAGGATCTCGGGTTGGAGTGCCATCAGTAGTGCTTATGCTGGCACCAAATATGGTGTGGCGTACGTCCTTCTCTCGGCAATGCCCGGGAGCTCGGCGATCGCGGCGAATTCCTCGGGCGCTTGAACCGCAAAATTCAGCTGGAGCCCTCGTGGCGCACTCGAGAGACCGCAAGCCTCTCGAGCTACAGCTGGCGCGCTGGCATTGTGCCAGGGCCCTCGTGGCGCGCGCGAGAGACTATGTGCCTCTCGAGATACAACTGGCGCGCTGGTCGTACTCGTCGCCCGCGGTGGCGCGGTTGGCGCCGGTGGGTCGCCCTCGGGCTGCGACCCGTGAACGTAGTGGTCCTCCTCGGCCTCCTGCTCTACAATCGCGTCGAAATCGGTTTCCTGGCAGTCCTTGGCGTCGTGGAGTGCTGGTGGGAGGTGGGTGGCTGGCGTCGAAGCTGTGGGCGTAGGTTTCGTCGTCGGCTGCGGGGCGGCGGGCGTCGTCGGCTGCGCGGCGGTGCTGAGTCGTTGTGGTCGCGGTGGTGGTGCGGAGTCGCTGTAGTGTCGTCGCGCCGTAGTCGGTGTCGGAGTGGTGCCGGGTGGAGTCGGGCGTGGTTGTGCGATGTCGTCTCGCGTTGGAAGCGTGACTAGAGCTGGTGCTGCAAGTAATCCTCCTTCTGCGCCCGGGCGTTGTAGGAATTGCTGCCATGGGTCCATGCGGGAGCGTGATTGGAGAATGCAGTAGAAGCGCTTGCGGGCTCGAAGCTTATGTCGGAGCATGTTATTGGTGACGCGGTGGCATTTGGCTAGTCGTCACCCTCTCCACGCCTGCCATAGGTCATCGCGCTGCATCTTATGGTACTTGTGGTTCGTGTCCTTCATGTGGCGGCGTGGTCGTTAGCTGAGGTCATAGATGGTCTGGTCCAGCGCCTGGAACGTCTCTTCGTGGGCGTTGTGGTCTTCCTCGTCGTGTAGCTGTTGCGGTAGTTGCGCTCGTTGCCGAAGAGGCTGAAATTTCTCTTCGCGCTCTTCCCGGCACCGTTTGGGTCGTCGTGCTGTGGCTGAGATATGCTCGAAGGCCGCGTCGCGCCAGCATTGCATGGTGAGGCCCCAGTGGTACGTGCCGTCGTCGCGCTCAAGGTACTCGTCCAGCATGTCGCCGTGGGTGGTCAGCTGGCTCTCCAGGCTGTCCAGGAACTCGATGCGCTTGTAACCCTCATTGATGCCCAGCGCGAGGGCGTCGCGGTCCAGGGCCTGGTAGGCCTTCCCCTCCGTGCGGCAGGCGGGTGGTGCCTCTAGCTTGAAGATCAGCGGCCTGTGGTCCTTCAGCCGCCTGAAGACTTGCAGGGTGTGGGCGGCGTGGTTCCAGACGCGGCACTGCAGAACGCGGGAGACTGAGCCCGTGGGGATGCAGATGTAGTCGGTGACTGAGGGATGGCGTCCGTCGTAGATGGGATCCGCGTCGTAGTGCGTGTTGGCGGCGGCCATGTGCGTGGTCACGAAGTTGCGGTGGTAGAGCTTGCCTGATTTGCCTTCCTTGCCCGTGGGGCAAGGGCCCACCGTCTCGTCGACATCGGGGCCCGGGGCGAAGCGGCCGTTGAGGTCCTTCATCACGATGAGGTGAAGCGCGTTGGTGTAGGTAGGAACTCCATCTTCACCCATTGAGCCACCTTCGTCGTGGCGATTCGCCCCTGAAAAAAGTCGTCGGTCCCATGGTGCTGGAGGCGAGTAGGCCGTGATGATCTTCGCCTTGGTGACGCCCTGCTCGATATTGATGGTTCCGCCTCGTCCTTGGAGTTCCGGCGGTGGTGCTGTGATGTCTTTGATGCGCTTCTCTCTGAATCTGCTGTTGAGGAGGACGGAGCAGCCCGCATAATTCTTCACATGCGTGCTGTGTCGCCCATATCCGAAATTAATCGCCAGGTGGTGCTCGTAGCGCTGCGTGTGATGCGGGTTGTGCGGATGTTTCTGGGCGCTGACCTCCTCGCCACGGGCGCCTGTGAGGCTAAGCGGGTTGAACACCGCGAGCGAAAGGAACAGCGGCAGTCATCGCGCGCCCGAGGGATCACATGCGCGCAGGGCCTTCATTGCTCGGGCAAGCATTTCGTGCCTGTTTGGTTATTCAACCAGCCCCGCGGCAACCGCTCGAGCCAGGGGGGACATGTGTATATATACATATATATATGTGTGTATACACACACGTGTACATATGTATGCATCCGCCTCTGGCTAGATCCTTCGTAACGTCCGGGGAGAAGGGGGGGGGTCAGGAGGTGAGCCATGGCAAACTGTACAGCGCGTCTTGATTCCCCAGGGACGACGGTCGGTGCGGAATTCCCAGGGCCTTGGAAGCCCGAAATCGGCAGAGAAGCCTCCAAACCCCGTCTCCTCAGAACCCCTCTGCGTCATGGGCGCCCCGGCGCCTGTCGACCGTCCGCCGGCATCGACCCTCGCCCCTCGGGATGTTCGAGTCGGGCGCACCGTCCCGGTGCCCGTTGTGCCCTGGGCGGTCGAGGCGCGTCCCGAAGGCAAGACGTCGTCGCGGCAGGGGCCTGCGTAGAGATACCACGCCTACGTAGTCGTCAGGGCCCCGGTAAGCGGGGACCATGAACCAGCGGCACTACCGAGAAAGCCTGCCGCCGTGGGTCGAAACGTTCCCCATTTTCTCGTTCTCTCCAGCTTCGGGGGCGTCCAGGAAGGGGTGCGTCCCAGAGAGGAGTTCCCTAATCATGGCTAGACGGGGGGGGGGTTAGGCGCGGGACGAGTTGAATAGAGATCTGGGGAGATATCGTGGACCCGGCCATATTTCTTCCCCACTCATCCCCCCCCCCCTCATGGTCGCCCCCGAGATCTGGCAACGTCCTGGTTTGCAAAGTCCTGGCTTCCTGGGCCCGGACGTCGGAGACAATGCTGATTATACCAGAGGCCAAGGGCGCGGGCCCTGTGGCCTGCCCATGAGAAGGTGGATGGCGCGGGGGCGGCATGGCAGGGAGGAAAGCGGCGAGGACGAGCATTCTTCACGAACGGCACATGAATGCGGAGTCCGATGTATTCGGAGAACTCAGACAAGCCTTCCTCATTCTCATCATCCTACTTTTCTTCCTACTCCTCCCACGCCCCAGACCTCTGACGACCCGAATCGGTTCGCAAGGTCGGACCCTCCAAATCTCGACCAACTTCTCAACAGGACCGCCATTTCATGACGGACCGTTTTTGATGGCCACGGACCCCGGAGACAGCTCTCAGCTTAAAGCAGCACAGGACTGAACCTAAACGGTGTTTTTCGTTTTCGTTTGGTTTTCGTTTTCCCTCGCTATTGTCTCGAATCCTCCTTTCCCGCAAAACGAAGTCGAAACGAAAACGGCCCACGAAATTGCCAAAAACACCGTTCAGGTCCAGCCCTGATGCAGCAGGAAAAACCTCCGACACGAATTTTGTTTCGCGCCGCGGGCTTGGCCGCCCCGCCGCGCCGCAAGCACGGGAACGAGGCAGAGCCACTGAAACCGGCATGGGCTAGCAAGGACTCGCCACTCCCTATTACAAAGGCCCTATAGGTGTAGGCGGTGGGGAAGGGCTGCGCGGCGGTGTCATCGATGGTTCCATTATGTCATCCCTACGCCGCTCTGGAGCCATGCTCTCTGGCACCTGAGCTCACTCGTGCGTGGCGGGATCGCAGAGGAGGAGGGTGAGGAGGAGGTGCCTGCCATCGCCACTGCAGATCGAGCTAAGGGGCCGAACTGACATCGAGGCCGTGCCAATTGCAAGGCACCTCGACTTCATGCGGAGCTGGCTGAGACGCCAGCGTCTGAGCTAGCCACATTCCCGCGCCCGACCCCGCGCGAGAAGCAATGGCAACGAGCCGCGGAGACGCGCACCACTTGGCGCTGGCTCCGCTCGCCCGGCACTTACCGAGAAGAAACGATTGCGCGCTCTACGGAGTGGCTGAATGCGCAGAGCAGGTCGGAGGACGGCCACCCTCGGCCAATACCACACTTGCCGCGAATGATGACACCCATTGCACCCAATCCTAACAGTAATACACTCGAATTTTGCCCATAGACGGATCCACACTGGCACCAGGATGCCTCTGTGATCCTAACTTGGCCCCGAGGAATACTCGAGCAAAGTCCAACTGCAGCTATACCTCTCGCCCCCTTCCAGCAGCAACGGCAAGGACTTTCTTTCCCCACGCTGTCCGCCATAAGTGCGAGCACTCTGCGAGGATGTGGGCGATTGAGGAGCGTTCCCGAAACAAGACAATGCCATAGCAATTCAGTCCCAAGATTCGAAGACGGATGCGATGGGTGCTTTGAACAGGGTGCAGCAATGAGGCACTGGACAATCGGAAGTCTCTGCCTTCCATCCACTGATGGATGGTTGTCTCTTCCTACTTCCAACCAGGGGGGGTTCGGGCAATCAGAATACGAGAGCTCCGAGGCCGGCATATTGAAACGATTCGAAACACGTCGGACATTTTGGCACGCACCCCCAGACCTCTCGACCTCCAGGACCGGCCACTCATCTCAGGCAGTCTTTTGCGGCCATCGGAATGAAGCATGTGCTCCAGATGCGATTTTTGGCCTGCGCCGCCAGAAGGTCAGGGCCGCCATCCTCAGAATCATCGAACCATGGTCCATGGCAGTGGATATTTGGGCGCGTTTCGACCAGGACCCCAAGGCGAATCCAGCTGCGGCGCCCAAGGCCTTCCCGCTCCCGAGAAACAGCCAGTCGTCGTGGACTTTGTTTGACGCTCCGGGAAGCTTGAACATGGCTGCCGTTCACTTTTACAAAATGTCAGAAGTCGGGCAATGGAAAGAAAACGGGCAATGACGACGGGTCTCGCGTCTCGCAGGCTGCCTTTCCAAGGGTCGATTTCTCAGGGCGCAGTCTGGCTGTATGTCGGGCGGACCTGGCCGTGGCGGCAAGGGGCCACCCCGCACGGGTGAAGAGGAGGAGCTCGTTTTTTGCTGCATCTACCGATGGCGGGGGTGATTGGGGGTGGGGGGAGCGACGCGCTGACCACGTCACGGCAGGGGTGCGCTGGAAGGAGAATAGTAACGATAGTAGTAGCTTGCATTCGAATTCGCAGCGCTAGTAGTAGAAGTAGTAGTAGTAGTAGTAGTAGTAGTAGTAGTAGTAGTAGTAGTAGTAGCAGCAGTAGTAGTAGTAGTAGTAGTAGTAGTAGTAGTAGTAGTAATCGTAGTAGTAGTAGTAGTAGTAGTAGTAGTAGTAGTAGTAATAGTAGTAGTAGTAGTAGTAGTAGTAGTAATAGTAGTAGTAGTAGTAATAGTAGTAGTAGTAGTAGTAGTAGTTGTAGTAGTTGTAGTAGTAGTAGTATTACTAGTAGTAGTACTAGTAGTAGTACTAGTAGTAGGAGGTAGCAGCAATGATAGTAGCAGTAGTAGTAATAGAAGTAGTAGTAGTAGTAGTAGTAGTAGTAGTAGTAGAAGTAGAAGTAGGAGTAGTCATCGTAGTAGTAGTAGTAGAAGAAGAAGTGATAGCAGTAATAATAGTAGTAGTACTGGAAGTAATACTAGTAGTCGTCGTCGTAGTAGCTGGCATGCAAATAGTCGTAGTAGTAGTAGTAGTAGTAAGTTTATTGATGGTAGTAGTCGTAGTAGTAGTAGAAATAGTAATAGTAGTGGTAGTAATAGTAGTAGTAGTCGTGGTAGCACTAGTACTAGTAATCGTAGTAGTCGTAGTGCTACTAATAGTACTACTAGTAGTACTACTAGGAAGCGTCGTATTATTCTTACTGGTCGTGGTCGTGGTAGTCGTAATAGTAAGAGAAGTAATAGGGGCAATCGTAGTAGTAGTAGTAGTAGTAGTAGTGAAAGTAGTGAGAGTAGTAGTAGTAGTAGTAGTAGTAGTAGTAGTAGTAGTAGTGGTAGTAGTAAAAGTAGTATTAGTAGTGGGAGTAAAAGTAGTAGTAGGAGTAGTCGTAAGAAGAAGAAATGAATAACATATAGTAGTAGTAGCAGTAGCAGTCGTAAAAGTAATAGTCGTAGAAGCAAACGTAATAGTAGTCGTAGATTTTGTAGCTGTAGTAGTAGTAGTAGTAGTAGTAGTAATAGGTGTAATAGTCATAAGAGTAGCCGTAGTAATGATAGTAGTCGTAGTAGTAGTAGTCGTAGTAGTAGTAGTAGTAGTAGTAGTAGTAGTAATAGTAGTAGTAGTAGTGGTAGTAGTAGTAGTATTAGTAGTAATAGTAGTAGTAGTAGTAGTAGTAGTAGTAGTAGTAGTAGTAGCAGTGGTGGACGTAGTAGTAGTAGCAGTCGTAGTACTACTTGTAGTAGAAGTAGCAAAAGTAGAAGTAGGGTAGTAGTATTAGTAGTATGAGTAGTTGTAGACGTAATATTAGTAGTAGTAGTAGGAGTAGTAGCAGTAGTAGTTTTAGTAGTAGTAGTAGTAGTAGTAGTAGTAGTAGTAGTAGTAGTAAAGAAGAAGTAAGGTAGTAGAAGTCGTAGTACTCGTAGTAGAATTAGAAGGAATGAAACTATACATAATAATAGTCGTCGTAGTACGACTATACTACTACAACTACTACTACTAATAATCCTGGTAGTCGAAATCGTGGTAGTTGTGGTACTAGTAGAAATAGTAGTCAACGTCGGAGAAGTAGTAGTATGAGTAGTCGCAGTAATAATGGTAGCAGTGGTCGCCGTAGTAGTAGTAGTAGAAGTAGTAGTAGTAGTAGTCGTCGAAACAATCGTAGTACTAGTAAGAAGGGTAATAGTCGCCGTCGTAATGGTAGTCTCCAGGGTAGTCGTAGTGGTAGCAGTCGTAATGCGGATCATACTAATAGCAGTGGTCTTAGTCGTAGTAGAAAGGGTGGTAGTCGAAGTAGTAGTAGTAGTAGTAGTAGTAGTAGTAGTAGTAGCAGTAGTAGTAGTAGTAGTAGTAGTAGTACTGGTGCTAGAAGGCGTAGTCGACTAGGCATGGGGGGTCTGGCCCCAGCCTCTCCCTCTCTCTCTGTCTCTCCCCCTCCCTCTCTCTCATCTTTCGCTCTAATGAAGAGCTGTCCCCTTGAGGAGAACTGTCCTTTTCAATATGTTTGCTTTGGACTCTTCAGCCTCCGTTTGAATATGGAGGGTTAATGGTGTCAGGAGATCAATGCCCAGTATTCTTCAAACAGGCTGTTGGCAACCAGCTTGACGAATCACCCTCCGCTCGGATATGTAGCACAGCTTTCAACGGGCTGCTGCCCAGAATTCTTAAAACCATCAACTAATAATCGTGATGCGTATATACACACGTATTTGCAACTCGTGCACACAACTGTCACGTCATTCGATTAACACAACGACGTACACATACACACATGCATGCATACACATACATACATATACACAAACACATATATATATATATATATATAGATAAAAACATGCACGCACATGCATTATGTACGTCCCCTTTCATTCGGTGAACTTGAATACTCCTCGGTGTAGACCCGTGTGCCTGCATTTGCTTGTATGTATACGTATCCGCGTGTGTTTACATGCACACTTATGTATCTGTGTGTGCGTGCACGCGCCATCCCCCAACGCACCCCCTGTGCGTTCGATTCCTTCCCGTCGTTCCGCAAACTCTCACATCCTCCTCCCTCCTCCTTCTCCTCCTCCTCCTCATCGTTTTCGTTTGTTTCTCCCCATCGGCATCTCCCCATCGGCATCAGAAACAAAAATATACAAGCAATATTTCCCCTGCACGTATTACTCCTCCACATCCTTCTTGCCATCATCATCACCATGTCTCCCGTATGGAGGGCTGGGAAAGGGGAGGGGTATGTTGATGAAGGGGGGGGGGGTGATGTCAAGAAGACAGGGTAGACTTGGGAGATGATAGTGAGGCTCAGGACTCAAACATCCCCTTGGGCTGCTCATATCAGCCATCCTCCTCACCGCCCTTCGTATATCCCTCCTGCTCAGCCTCCTCGTCATGATCCTGTGTCCTATAGGAGGGACAGGGAGGATGATGAGGAGAAGGGAGGACGAGGAGGACTGGCCCCTCAACCACCTCCTCTTTATCCTTATATGGCAGCTCCTCTTCATCCATCCCTCCTCCTCCTCATCCTCCCTCCAGTTCCTCCCTCCACCTCCTCCTAGGAAGATCGTGTCAAAGATTGGCTCCGCTTCCTCCTCCCTCTGTCTCGTCCCTCCACCTCCCCCCTCCCCCCGAGAGGATGCTGCCATTGATGAGCTCCTCGTCCTCGTCCTCGTCCTCGTCCTCCTCGTTAGGCCACTCGTCCTCCTCCGCCTCATCCGTCTCCACTCGCTACTATGGCAGGAGGAGGGAGGGTGTAGCTTGAGGAGGGCGGGAGATTCACCCTGTTCCTCTCACTCATCCTCCGCTGCGTCATCCTCATCCTTCTCATTATAGCAATCGTCCTCCCCCTTCTTCTCATCAGGAGAGGGAAGTGATACGAATCATCGAAAGATGGGCAGAGGAGACGGATGAGCTGGATGACGGGGTCGATGGGAAACACGATGGCGAGGCGGATAATGCGGAGCAGGTCGAGGAGGAGGCGGAGGCGGAGGATGAGGAGGAGAAGTCATATGATGAGCAGCAGGACACGTGGGATGAAGAGGAGACTGATGATACCGACGACGATGCGGGGGCGGGGGAACGATGTAGGCAAGGAATATGCTACTCATGATGATACTGAAACGAACTGAAGCCGCTGTTGGCGAATACCTCGGCCCTG